CGCCCGGCCGAGATGGGGTTTCACCATGTTAGCCAGGATGGTCTGGATCTCCTGACCTTGTGATCTGCCTGCCTTGATTTCCCAAAGTGCTGGGATTACAGGCATGAGCTACCGCGCCCGGATGCAATGTCTTCTTTTTACCTCAGCCCCTCTTTATCACCTAGCATAGTGCCTGACTCATAACAGGTGCACAAAGCATTTACCGAAGAGAGAAAGGACGTAATCAGGTGTAAGCAGAACACAGACTAAAGTCGTACAATCATGAGAGGTTTTATCCTTACTACAGCACGAAACTTATACAAAATCACTTACATAAGCTGACACATGCGTTCTGACAAAGGGAATTTTTTTCTTTCTTCCCGAGGGACAGCGTCCAAAATGCAGTTAAAAGTCTTCAAGCCCTTTTGGGAATTGAGAAGACATTCATGGAGAAGAAACAAAACAGAGACCTATGTATGATCTTCTCTAAGGTTTCTGGAGCCGCTGGTATCTATTTTGTTATTTGCAACTTACCTCCTGTCGAATCAAATGATCTACAGTCTTTTCTGTCACCAGGAATCCTAAGCTAAGTAGGAAGGAATCCAACATCTGAATTTTCCCTGAAAGTATAATTTCAAAGACTCAATTTTATGTTTGAAAGAGTAAGAAAATGACTCCTACACACGGTCAGAGCCTTTCACTGAGGGTGCCTTTCTGGGTTTTCTACAATATAACTCACTTTGCAGCCTGTGCCCCTTACGATCCTGTTGCTTTGTCTTCTGGTATCAAGGGTCGTGAGCATGTGCACACATTCATATACGCGTTTATTTTACATGGTTCTTGGTGACTTATTTTGAAACTAAATCTTACTTTATCTCAGGAAAATTAATTCTTTGATACTTTTATTACAGTAGACTTTCTCAACTTTGGCAATATTGATATTTCAAGCCAGGTAATTCTTCTTCTAAGAAGAACTTGAGAACTGCTGTCAAAATGCAGGGGGAAAAATGAGTGAGGAAAAGATGCACATGAAGATAAAAACAAAGATGTGACAGATAATCTTACAAAGAGGGAACAGAAAGTAAATGTAATGGACTTTTTGGGGGTCTCTCCACCATCCTTCCCCACTCCTCTGTTATGGAGCAGTTGTGCTATTTGGGTGAGACCGATCAGTTCCAGGGGTAAATCCGGACTGGCTTAAACTAGGCAGAGGTGGCCCATTTATCTTTTCATAGTGACTGGTTCATCTGGAGGGCAGGGCACCCAATCAGAGCAAAGCTAGGGCTTTTGTTTGCTGGTTGAGGAAAGGGAACCTTTCTCCCCGAGATGTGAACCAGGAAGCACAAAGTTCTCGTTGCAACCAACAAGGGAAACCACCTTGAGAGCAAAGACTAGACTCTGAGAAAGGCAGAACTGAAAGGGCTATAGAGAAATGGAGTGGAGCCACTCTATTTCCAAACTGCCCACCTCTGGACTCTTCAGTCCCTTCAGCCAGTAAGTTGTCTTTATCATTTAAGCCTATTTGAGCTAGATATTCTGTTAAATACACCCAAAGCACTCTACCTCAGTAGTTGATGACTACAGATGATTTTGCCCCACGGGGAATGTGTGGAGATGTTTTTGGTTGTCATGACTTGGGGATGGATGCTGTTGGCATCTAGAGGGTAGAGGACAGGGATGCCGCCAAACACCCTTTGATGTGCAGATAGCACCCAGGACAAAGGACTACCCAGTTCAAAATATCTATATTGCCAAAATTGAGAAACTCTGCTGTAATAAAATTATCAAAGAACAAATTTTCCTGAGCTAAAGTAACATTTGGATTCAAAATAAGTCACCAAGAACCATGTAAAATCAACGTGCTTTCAACCCTTAATATCAGAAGATAATAGAAACAGGATTGTAAGGGGCACAGCGTGCAAAGTGACAGTAATATTGTATAAAAGCCAGAAAGACATCTTCAAACGATGAAAAGCTCTGACCACGTCCCTCCCACAGGCTAATACTCTCACATTTCTTTAACACAGTAAATTTATTGTCATATACAAAGAAGAAGAAATAAGGTACCATCCTTTTGATGTTAGTAATTAAATTAAGGGTAACTAACAGTAAAACAAAACTAGGACATAAGTCATTCAAATCAGTAGAGAGGGATAAACTGTGAAAGAAAGCCATAATCCATATAGCGGAACACAAACAAAAGAATCATAAAAATAAATAAGAAGACATAAGTTTCAGAACAAAAAAGAAGGAGTGATTAATGTTGTCAACTGCAGAAGGAAGTGGGAAGAAATTCAGTGAAAACATCTTTCTACTTTGGAGAGAAGGATTAGACATTAACTCTGCAGAGCCTGGGCATAAAACTCACACAAGACAACTGTCGAAGGACACACGTGAAAACATGTCACTTGCAGAGAGGCCAGTCCTGCTAAGGTGACCACAGTGGGCTCCAAGCACGAATTGCCATTGCTATAGATGGGACTGTGTCCCCCCCAAAATTCATATATTGGAGCCTTAACCCTCAATGTGATGGTATTTGAGATGCAGCCTTTGGTAAGGGAAGTTCAGATGAGGTCACGAGTGTGGGATCCTCATGATGGGATGAGTGCCCTTATAAGAGCTCGGTCCAGGTGCAGTGGCTCATGCCTGTAATCCTAGCACTTTGGGAGGCCGAGGTGGTTGGATCACATGGAGTCAGGAGTTCAAGACCAGCCTGGCCAAAATAGTGAAACCCCATCTCTACTAAAAATACAAAATTAGCCAGGCGTGGTGGCACACGCTTGTAATGCCAGCTACTCAGGAGGCTGAGGCAGGAGAATTGCTTGAAACCAGGAGGCAGAGGTTGCAGTGAGCTGAGAACGTGCCACTGCACTCCAGTCTGAGCAACAGTGCGAGACTCTGTCTCGGGAAAAAAAAAAAAAAGAAAAAGAAAAAGTAAACAAAAAGAAAGAGCTCTGGCTCTGTCCACCTTGTAAGCACACAGCAAGAAGCCAGGTCTCTGCCTACCATGTAGGCACACAGCAAGAAGTCAGAAAGAGGTCATCACCAGAATCCAATCATGCTGGTACCCTAATCTGTTACTCCCAGCCTCCAGAGATAAATGTCTGTTGGCTTAGCCTCCCAATTGATGGCATTTTGTTATGGCGGCCTAATTGGACTAACACAGTCATCTAGAACAATGTTTCCTCTACCGGGGCAATGAAAGTCATTATAGCATTATGTGAATCCATAAATGCCCCAAGCGATGACCATAGAGTGAACATATAGCTCACATATGCATTGTTTTTCAAATATGCAGTATATACATACTGTTGGGATTAATACAAAGCAAGTTTATTTTAAAATGTTACAAAAATAAAAGTAGTTTTTTACCACTGTGCATTTTATCAACCAGTTTTAAAGGCAGTAACTATCATTGTGATGATCATAAAACTTTGACTTGAAAATGTTTGGAACCACTGACTTGAATTATGAGGACCAACCAAGTCAACCAAGTTTTAAAGTCAACCAAGTCCAGTGCATGCTTCAGCTTCTGGTACTGCATTTCCTCAGCTACCAAATACCATCCATTGCAGAATATAGTGTCAGTTGATGATAGCCTTTCAGAAGAAAACTAAAAACATGTAACATAGGAAAATGACATATCAAGATGGCTCCAATTTCCAAAACGTTTAAATATTTAAGTGCATCTTTGAATCCATGGTATCATAATTCAAATGTCAAATTACTTTTTTTTGAGACAGGATCTCACTGTCACCCAGGCTGGGGTGGAGTGGCACAATCATGACTCACTGCAGCCTCAAACTCTGGGGCTCCAGTGATCCTCCCACCTCACCCTCCCAAGTAGCTGGGACTACTGGTGCACACCACCACACCCCGATAATTTTTTATTTCTTGTAGAGATGGGGTCTCACTATGTTGCCCAGGCTGGTGTTGAACTTCTGGATGCAATCAGGTCTGCCTCTTCAGCCTCTGAAAGTGCTGGGATTACAGGCATGAGCCACCACACCCAGCATAACTACCTTTAATTTGAGTTAAATGGAACAAAATCAAGCTATCCTCCAAAGTTTCTAAAATTTTACCTTTTACACTCTTGAAAGACAGAGACAGGCATCTGAATCAGCTTCAAGCTAAATCAGTAGTAGCTAAATTTTTGCATATTTGAATGACAAAAGTGGCTTTCTATTACCTGAACAGAGCTAGCCATACGTCAGGAGCAGCTAAACAAAAATGTTTCTCAGACAAATACAAGACTTTTTTCTACAATGAAATACATTTCCAAATGACACCATGATGACCATAAGGTGATCAATAAATCCAAATAAAATGTTTAAACTTACTTTACTTTTACATATCATTTAAATATTCTTTTCTCTGTGCCAGAATATTCTATTAATGAAAAATTAACAGCCAATTAGTAGCCAATAATATACTTACCTTCACTACTACTCCTGGAAATAATCTAACAAAAAGAAAGAAAAAGTAAAGCTCATATTATTTTTAAACAGCATGATAAACTATAACACAAATGTATTAGTGTTAATTGTCTCTAACAGGCAGGCATTGACTTTACAGAAGGAAAGAATTTTAGAGAAAGCCTATCTGAGCCTTAATCACATCCTTAAAATGTGCGTATCACTCTCAATCAGGTGGCTAATATATTTGTATATATGATAATAAATCACCTCTCATTTTTAACATTGGTTATATAGTTTCTTACTATGTCACATATTAATAATATTCTAATAATAATACATGAGAGTCTTTTGTTTGGTTTTGTTTTGTTTTAAGACAGAGTTTCACTCTTGTTTCCCAGGCTGAAGTACAATCCCGCGGTCCCGGCTCACTATAACCTCCGCCTCCCAGGTTCAAGTGATTCTCCTGCCTCAGCCTCCCAAATAGCTGAAATTACAGGCGCCTATCACCACACCCAGTAAATTTCTGTATTTTAGTAGAGACGGGTTTCACCATGTTGGCCAGGCTGGTCTCGACCTCCTGACTTCAGGTGATCCACTCACCTCGGCCTCCCAAAGTGTTGGGATTACAGGCGTGAGCCATCACGCCCAGCCACGTCAGTCTTTTAACAAAACTTACATATTTAGAAAACCATGTTTTATAAATAACTTGAAGATTCCTGCCAATGACCAATGGCATCTGCTCAGTGAAGCATCCATCCCATCCTTACCAATGCAGTGTCAAAGAAGTCTTCTATAACATGAATCAGTGATGTGTCTGAGGCTAGGCCTTCCAAGGTCAGAATTCCTGTTGTTCTTTCAAACCAGGAAACTAGGTACACAGGAGGACACTCACGTAACTACATATGACTAAATGCTGTCTATTCAATAAAATTTCACAGGACAATTTTCTCATTACAACAAAATCATCTTAAAGATCTTTTCCCATTCCATTCCATTTCAATGAGGCCTGGCTCTGAGACCTCCCACCGGAACACTTCAGGATGGTGCCATACCACTACAGAGCTGTCACAAGTAAGCTCTCAGAGATCAGCACAAAATAGAGTCCCAGCCAGGATCTGTGTCAGAAAGCCGTATAAAGGGACTAGTGAGGAGCATTTAAGACATAAATGAGGCCAGGCGCAGTGGCTCACGCCTGTAATCCCAGCACTTTGGGAGGCCGAGGCAGGTGGATCACTTGAGGCCAGGAGTTCAAGACCAGCCTGGGAAAGATGGTTAAACTTCATCTCTACAAAAAATATAAAAATTAGCTGGGTGTGGTGGTGCACACCTCTAGTCCTAGCTACTTGGGAGACTGAGGTGTGAGGATCACTTGAGTCCAGAAGGTCAACACTGTAGCAAGTGCTGTGATCACACCACTACACTCCAGCCTGGGCAACAGAGCGAGACCCCACCTCCAAAAAAAAAAAAAAAAAAGAGGTAAGTGAACCTCCTCAGCACAGGGGGAAAAAAAATCTTGTGATCTAAGAATCTGCTGAAAACAAACTATCAAAGAATATATAGAATTTGGAAAGTTCTCAGAAGTATTCTTGGTTATAGTAAATATGCCTCAGGCCTAGGTATCTTTCTTTTGTTAAAAAGCTTCCAGCTAATTAGAGAATTTTTTCCTATAGGAATATATATCCAATTTCATATTAAACTGCTGGAATTGGTATGATTTAAAATAAACTTCTGTAACCTTTCCTCCCCCACCCCAGAATATACGGTATTTCCTCCATAAAGCAAAAACCATCTTATTTTTCCCATGATTTTTGCTGAGACTCGTCACTCTTAGAAAAACAAATAAAAATAAGAAAAACCCCGCATGCATAGTTAGAAATCATCAGCTGAACATGACATCAGTCACGTGAGTTTCTGATGAACAACTCTTGCAGAAGTCAGGCCTTCAAAACTCTGTACACTTTGGGCCAAGAACCTGACTCACTCCAGCTGAAGATCAATAAACCAGTTTTCAAGCCTTGGCTGTACATTAGGAAAACCTGGAGAGTCAGGAAACATCCCCCAGACCCAGTAATCAGAATCACTGGTGATACACCCCCACCTGAGTTTTCTATTTTAGGTTTAAGAATGTTTGTGAGAGCTCTCCAGGTGACTGTCATGTCCAGCAAGGTTTGAAAGCCATTACTATGTTCCAAGTAAGGTTTCTTTTGTCTCAAATCAGACAAATACTTGCACTAGATTGAATCATCCACCTGCTGAAGAAAGCTTTTCTCCACTAGCACAAGAGAAGAAATGTCTTCCTGTGTAGCAGAACTCACTGGTAAGGCTATATTTCCTCCCTCCCTATGTTCATACTTAAAAGTCTACGCTTTTCAAATACATTTTTGTCACCACTCCATCCCTCCAAAGCCTATCGCACTCCCAGCACCCTCCCAAATACACTGGTTGAGTAGATACAGAAACGGCAGAAAGGCTGCACTCCCTGATCAATACTTGGCAACAGGAAGTTCTCACTGAACCCATTTATACACCCTGGTCACACATTGTCTAACAGACATCCCAGCTCTCCCCACAGTTGTATCACTACCAGAAGCCACACACAATAGCCATGACTTCTGAGGAATATGGTATCAGACAAGTTGCTTAATCCTCCTGGATTTTACAGTGCAGGACTAAAGATGTTCCTTTCTGTAGGGCTTTTTTTTGTTTGTTTGTTTTTGTTTTTTTTTTTGAGACAGGGTCTCACTCTGTCACCCAGACTGGAGTGCAGTAGCACCATCTTGGCACACCACAACCTCCAGCTTAAGCAATTCCCCTGCCTCAGCTTCCCGAGTAGCTGGGATTATAGGCATGAGCCACCACTGCCCAGCTAATTTCTGTATTTTTAATAGAGACGGGGTGTCACCGTGTTGGCAAGGCTGGTCTCGAACCCCTGACCTCAGGTGATCCACCAGCCTCAACCTCCCAAAGTGCTGGGATTACAGGCGGGAGTCACCGTACCATGAATTCTTATTCTATGGAGTAGAGGAACTTCCAAGCACACTTTGTGTTGAGTTTGCAAACACAATTGTCTTTAGAAGTATAGAGCTGGCTGAGCGTGGTGGCTCACACCTATAATCCCAGCACTTTGGGAGGCCGAGGCAGGTGAATCATCTGAGGTCAGGAGTTCGAGATGTGGGATATGATGAGGTTTCTCTTTAAATAATCTGATCAATCTTTTATTATTTAATTCATAGCACCCCCCCCCCCTTTTTCTCCTCCTTTCTCCTTTTTGCGTTTGTTAGATGCCCAGGCACACCACAGTACCAGGCGTTATCAGTACCAGCTCACATTCCTTGCCTTATTTGAAAAGAGGACTAACTTTCTAGCTCATTACAGACACCCCTTCCCCTTCCTCTCCACTTTCTTTTACGTGCTCACCCTATCTAAAAAAAAAAAAAAAAAAAAAATCAAATGTTTAGCCAGCCGGGATTAGTTTAGATTGTACGACCCAACCCTGGCCAATGGGGAAAAGGTACACGGGCAGGGCTTGCGTCAGCAATAAAGGCTCTCATGCCCCTTTGTTCAGGTGTGCTGTCATGGCAACTGGCCAAGGAGGCACCCCTCTGCGCAGAAGTAAAATTGCTTTGCTAAGAATCCTTTGTTCGAGTGTTCAATTTCCTTAGAATTTTGAGCGTTATTCCCAACAGAGACAAGTCTGACCAACGTGGTGAAACCCCATCTCTACTAAAAATACAAAAAAATTAGCTGGGTGTGGTGGCACACACCTGTAATCTCAGCTACTTGGGAGGCTGAGGCAGAAGAATTGCTTGAACCTGGGAGACGGAGGTTGCAGTGAGCCAACATCGCCCCTGCACTCCAGCCTGGATGACAGAGCGAGACTCCGTCTCATAAAAAAAAAAGAAAGAAAGAAAAGAAAGAAAGAAACAAGTATAGAGTCTAAGCTGGGCATAGGGGCTCATGCCTGTAATCCTAGCACTTTGGGAGGCCAAGGTGGGTAGATCACTTGAGGTCATGAGTTCGAGACCAGCCTGGCCAACATGGTAAAACCCTGTCTCTACTAAAAATACAAAAATTAGCTGGGCACAGTGGTGTGTGCCTGTAATCCCAGCTACTCAGGAGGCTGAGACAGGAGAGCCCAGGAGGCAGAGGTTGAAGTGAGCTGAGATCGTACTACTACACTCCAGACTGGGTGACAAAATTAAGACCCTGTCTCAAAAAAAAAAAAAAAAGAAAGAAAAGAAAAGAAAAAGAAAAAAGAAAGAAAGAAAAAAAAGAGGTATAGAGTCTAGTATCCCATTCTCTGATAATGTTGATCTATTCTTGCCAAAACCTATATGAAATAACGTATCTAAATAATGGTTATGAAATTTCCATCACCAACTAGGATGCCAATGGAATATAGAAACTCCTACTTGATTTCAAAACTCCAGTGGGGATTTGATCTGACACTTTTTTAAACCTTGGGAGGGAATTCTTAAACCTAAATAGAAAAGTTAGGGTGGGGCATATTCCTATTCATATCCCAAAAGGTCAGCTTAGGGTTCCAAGGTATACTTAGAACATCTCTGCTTCATTTCCTTTGAGATTTTATCTCCTTTTCCCTGCTTCCTGTTTTCTGCATAAGTTAGTGTGTCAGCAGGTCAAGTGGGGTTACATGCAAAATGAAATATATACGGTCTGCATAAGCACAGTCTTTAATTCCCCCTGCAAACACTTCTAAAGTCCCTAAGAGGAGTTTGGGAAAGCCTGGAGTTTGCTTTTTCTCCTGAAGGGGTAGCTTCAGAATCAGATGCATTTTAGAGTAACAAAGGGCAAAGACAGATCTTGGCCCAATCTGGCCTTAATAAACTTCAGGTACTAGAACTCAAGGTGTAAATCAAAGACATTATTAGCAGTCAGATCATCCTTCTACCTTACTTCTTCCCCACATCTCCTCACCAATAAACAAACTTGTCTCTGGGTTGCAAAAACCTCACCATTAAAAGACAGGAGCTACAGCAAGAGATGTTGCAGATTCTGCTTTGCTTCCAGATGCCGTTACAAAGGCACTCACTGTGTTATCTCCTGGTTAATATTTTTAAAAGAATAAAATGTGATAATTTGGGTAACTTTGAATAAGCAAAAATGTTTTTGCTATTTGTTTTTTCAGATTCATCCAAGGTTTAGAAAACAGGAAAAGTGACGTGTTACAAGAGCAAAGAAAAGTTTTCGATGATCATTTTTCTAGGTCTACTCTTGTTAATAAAGTCTATTAAAATAGTTCTAGAGCCTACTCCTACTCATTTTCCCCCAAATTCACTAAAATAATTTAAAATAATAATCACTGCATAGGCTCATCAAGAGGAGTGGTTGTATCTGACTCGATCCCGTGCACTCCCAAAGTGCCTTGCATAGCAGGTACATCAGGAAATGTATGTTGAATTTAATTTTTTATTAGAAATAAGCAATAAGAATGGATATCAATTTCTTTTCAAATTGGATTTCAAAGGAACAGAAATACCAAACTTAACTAGACAACTAAATCCATGTAAGTTCTTTAAGTTACCCAAAGCCATATAAAATAAAAATAGGACACTTATCTTTGGGATCAGTCCCTGCTGAATTAGCAAAGGTTCATCTTCTTTCGGGCCATCTATGAAGAATCGCTGAATACATTTCAGCAACAGTGACACAGACTGAAATTCATTTTTATCTAGTTCCTAGGTATAAACCACACTAAATTAAAACACTTATAAATAATTATACATTCATATTTTGGTCACAAAGCAAACCAACTTGCCTTATTTATTAATCTGTTAAGACGGTGTAATAGAAGATGATTATATTTTTGAGGACAGTGGCTCTCTTTCTGTTGAAAGTATTCTTTTATTTTCTGAAATCCTTTATCATGGAATGCATTCATAATAAGTGACTGAAGCTGGAAAGATGATAGTTTGCAAATTACTTTTTCCCTAAAAACATTTATTTTATAGTAATATTTCTAACTGATATCATTATCAATAAGAATTCAGTGTGAAATAATATAGGGTAAACATAGAATGGAGATCTCTATCTTGAATACTAAACAATCATTTCACAAATGATTGATGTTTCTGTTGGCTTAAGACAAGAGTTCCCAAAATGTGGCTCCTAGACCACCAGCAGCATTGGCATCACCTGGGGAATTCTTCGCACTCAGACTCAGGGCAGAGCCCTTCATGTGATTCTCGTGCATGCTGAAGTCTGGGAACCACTGACCCAGGGAAAACAACACTTGAGTTTCAGGTATCATGGGATGAAGACCCTCTGCAATGTTGGGAATTCTAAAACACTAAAAATTCAAGCCTATGATCACTCACTGAGTGACATAAATGATCATAATAGAAGGAAGAAAAATAATACTAATAATTATAGATAAGTATGCAAATTGACCATAATGAATGAAATTCATCTTTTCTGCCTGCACATTAGCTAAGACATGCTTCTAAGTACATATACTTAAAGGGCCGGGTGCAGTGGCATACACCTGTAATCCCAGCACTTTGGGAGGCCGAGGCAGGCGGATCACCTGAGGTCAGGAGTTCGAGACCAGCCTGACCAACATGGAGCAACTCCGTCTCTACTAAAAATACAAAATTAGCCAGACATGGCGGTGCATGCCTGTAATCCCAGCTACTTGGGAAGCTGAGGCAGAAGAATGCTTGAACCTGGGATGGAGGTTGCAGTGAATCGAGATCGCACCATTGCACTCCAGCCTGTGCAACAAGAGCAAAACTCTGTCTCAAAAAAAAAAAAGTGCATATACCTGAATAACAGACATTTCCTTAAATATTTAAACTATAAAAGATTTTTGATCTTTAAAAATAAAACAATACTATTTTAATAAGGAAGCAATTTACTATCTACAGCCTAAAATTCCACTTATTCTTAGTACTGAATTAAAAGGGAAAACAGCATTTAAAATTATTCCATTTAAATGGAATGTTTTCTTTTTTCAGTCAACACATAGTGAGTTTTTTTGTGCCAAGTGTGTTAAGTGTTCTGCAGATGTTATTATTTAATCCTTGCCTCGGTCCTGAGAGGTTAGGTTCTTTATCTCAGGATAGAATTAGCAAGGATAAGAAAGGTTACAAACTTACGTGAGATCACTCAGCTGAAATTTACTCCCTTTTACCTGCTTAAAACTCTGCCATTGCCAGGCGCGGGGCTCACGCCCATAATCCCAGCACTTTAGGAGGCCAAGGCAAGAGGATCGCTTAAGCCCAGAAATTTGACATCAGCCTGGGCAATATATTGAGACTCAATCTCTACAAAAAACGAAAAACTAGCCAGGTGTGGTGGTTCATGCCTGTAGTCACAGCTACTCAGAAGGCGAGGCAGGAGGATCACTTGAGCCCAGGAGGTCAAGGCTGCAGTGAGCCATGATTGTACCACTGCACTCCACCCGGGGTGACAGAGTGAGATCCTGTTAAAACAGAACAAAACTTTGCCATGGCTTCCTCTGCATTCAGAACAAATCCAAGTCCTTTGCTTTAGTCCACAGAATGTGGCATGATCTGATCTCTGACAGTCTGACACTACCCTGCTAATGAGTCCTAGGATAAGTCAAGCTCTTGCCTTGGGGCCTTTGAACTGGCTGTTCAAGGCCTGGGCTACTTCACACCACCACTTTCCACGTGGCTGGCTCCACTCAGACCACAGCTTAAGCATAACTTTTTCAGGTAGAGCTTCCAGGACCACCTTAAGTAGACCAGGTGTCTCCTCAACACTCCCAATCATTCCCCATCTCAATACCCTGTTGTTTTTCTTCCTGCTTTCTTTGGCTTTCTGCCAGTCTATAAGCTCCATAAAGGCAGAAGTTGTATCTAGTTTGTTCAGTACTATCTATCTACATCTAGAATAGCACAGGATACAAGATAGTTTAGACTAGGATATTGGTAGGATAGCTAACAGTAAATTGACTAGATATAGTAATAAATTGGACATGAGAGATTAGGGAAGGAGAAAAATAAAGATTTCTCTGCTTCTGATTTGAGCAACTGGAGGAACAATCTTGCTAATGACCCAGGGAACACAGAACTAGAAAGAATACATACACTCACACACAGACACAGACACACACACACACATTATAAAAGAAACTTGATCTTTACCCAGAAAGCATCATTCTGGGCCTTCCCAGTCCTATCTTCCTTAGTAGGCTGCAAAGGATCTTTGTTTTTCTGTGTGGAATAAAAATATGTTTTTAAAACAATTTCTATTTCAAAGAAATGCATTTCAAGTTTTAAACATAAAGCAAAAATAAATAAATAAAGGTTTGTATTGTTTTCCTGAACAGAAATTTTTGTTTGCTCATATTATTGACTAAGTAAAATAGTACTTGGAAAAAAAAAAAAAACTCTATCCAACCTTCTTTAGCATGGTCTATGACAAATACAATACAAATTATCAGAAGAAGCAAAGCAAGCATCATTTGAATAAATAATCATACAAAACAAACTCTATAATGATGATTATAAAGTAGAAGTAAAAGGTTTTGAACTAAAAAACCATTTTCAGAATGAGAGCTTGTAAAATAAAGTTAAATAAAAGTGTCTTGGAGGCATCATAGTACTTGACTTCAAAATACACTACAAAGTTATAGGAACAAAACAGAATGGTACTGGCATAAAAACAGACACATACATAGACCAATGGAACAGAATAGATAAACCCAAAATAAATCTACTTCTTTATAGCCAACTGATTTTTGACAAAGGTGTCAAGAACATTCATGGGGAAAAGATAGTCTCTTCAATAACTGGTGCTGGGAAAACTGGATATTTATATGTGGAAGAATGAAACCAGATCCCATGTCTCACCATATACAAAAATCAACTCAAAATAAACTAAAAACTTACACTTAACATCCCAAACTATGAAACTACCAGAAGAAAATATAGGGGAAACACTTTAGGACACTGGTCTGGGCAAAGATTTTATGGAGAAGACCTCAAAATCACAGGCAATGAAAGCAAAAATAGACAAATGAAATTATACAGACCAAAAAGCTTCTTACAGAAAGGGAAATAATAGAGTGAAGAGACAACCAGCAGAATGGGAGAATGTATTTGCAAACTATGCATCCAAACAAGCCATTAATATCTAGAATATAGAGGGAACTCAAACACCTCAACAGCAAAATAACCAATCCAATTAAAAATGGGTAAATAAGCTAAATAGACATCTCTCCAAAGAAGACATACAAATGACCAACAGGTATATGAAAAAATACTCAACATCACTAATCATTGGAAAATGCAAATCAAAACCAAAATAAGATATTATCTTACCCCAGTTAGAATGGCCATTATCAAGACAAAAAACAACAAATGCGGGCAAGGATATGGAAAAAGAGGAACTCTTGTACACTGTTGGTAGGAATATAAATTAGTATAGACAATATGGAAAACAGCATGGAGGTTCCTCAAAAAACTAAAGCCAGAACTATCATAAATCCAACAATCCCACTCCTGGAGATATATCCAAAAGAAAAGAAATCAGTATGTCAAAGGCATATCTGCACTCCCATGTTTATTGCAGCACTATTCATAATAGCCAAGATATGGAATCAACCTAAGTGTCCATCAGTGGATGAATGGATAAAGAAAATGTGATATTTTCACGCAGTGGAATACTTTTCAGCCAGAAAAAAAGAACAAAATCCTGTCATTCATAGTAACATGCATGAGCCTGGAGGACATTATGCTAAGTGAAATAAGCAGGGCACAGACAGACACACTGCATGTTCTTGATCACATGTAGAGGCTAAAATGCTGATCTCGGCCAGGTGTGGTGGCTCATGCCTGTAATCCCAGCACTTTGGGTGGTCGAGGTGGGTGGATCACCTGAGATCAGGAGTTTGAGACCAGCCTGACCAACATGACGAAACCCCGTCTGTACTAAAAATACAAAATTATCCGGGCATGGTGGCACATGCCTGTAATCCCAGCTACTGGGGAGGCTGAGGCAAGAGAATCGTTTGAACCCGGGAGGCAGAGGTTGCAATGAGCTGAGGTCACACCATTGCACTCCAGCTGAGGAAGCAAGAGCAAAACTCCATCTCAAAAAAAAAAAAAGAAAAAAAAAACTGATTGCACAGAAGTAGAGAATAGAATAGTGGTCACTAGAAAAGGGGAAGGGTGAGATAGGCAGAGGTTAGTTAATGGACACAAAATTACAGCTAGCTGGAAGAAGGAGTAAGTTCTAGAGTACGATAGCACTGTAGGGTGACTATAATGAACAACTTACTGTATATTTTCAAATAGCTAGACGAGTAGACTTTGAACATTCCCAACACAAAGAAATAAATGTTTGAGATGATGGATATGCATAATTACTCTAATTTGATCATTACACATTGTATACACATATGGAAATATCACACTACACCTATTAACATGTACAATTATTATGTGTCAATTAATATATGTGTCAATTAAAAATAAATGATAAAGGCAAAGAAAAAGAACCATTGTGTTAGTAGATAATTGAGTAGAGGCAAAAGTGAGATAGAAGGAACAGCTAAAGCCACAATTAAAATTGGGTTTTAGGCCAGGCGCAGTGACTCATGCCTGTAATCCCAGCACTTTGGGAGGCCGAGGCGGGTGGATCACGAGGTCAGTTCGAGACCAGCCTGTCCAATGTGGTGAAACTCTGTCTCTACTAAACACACAAAAAATCAGCCGGGTGTGGTGGCGGGCCCCTGTACTCCCAGCTACTCAGGAGGCTGAGGCAGGAGAATGGCATGAACCTGGGAAGTGAAGCTTGCAGTGAGCTGAGATCATGCCACTGCACTCCAGCCTGGGCGACAGAGCAAGACTCCATCTCAAAAAAAAAAAAAAAAAAATACAAAAATTAGCCTGGCATGATGGCGCGAGACTGTAGTCCCAGCTACTCGTGAGGCTGAGGAAGCAGAACCACTTGAACCTGGGAGGTGGAGGGTGCAGTGATCCGAGATCGAGCCACCGTGCTCCAGCCTGGGTGACAAAGTGAGACTCCATTTAAAAAAAAAAAAAAGAAAGAAAAGGGTGTTAATTCATAGCACAAACTGACATCAAATAAACACTATGCTATGGATCTATAAAGAATTTCTAAGTTTTGTCAACAAATTCTGAATTAGTGGGAAATACTTCCCATCCCAAAGAAAATATTCCCAGGAGCCTTTATGTTACGCTTCTTTACCTCTTTTCTCTATAGACACTGCCCTATCTCTCCTTCAGTTCAACTCATATGCAGAGATGCTCTGTGTATTTTTATTTCTACCTCCTTTCAACCGTCTCTGGCATTGGTGGTCAGTACTCTGCAAATTCCAAAGAAATGCTTACTGTTTCTGGAATTTCTGGAGCCACTCCAGTGCACAGAAAGGTATCCCCCTCTGTGAAGATCATGTGGCAACTTTTGTGGGTAGGAACTTGACAGGAAAATCAGAAAGTGGGATGGTTTAGGCAGAAAAGGTCGTTAGATTGTCTGAGCTTCAGTCTCCTCATTTAAAAAACATGATGATAGCCGGGCGCGGTGGCTCATACCTGTAATTCCAGCACTGTGGGAGGCCGAGGCGGGCAGATCATGGGGTCAAGAGATCGAGACCATCCTGGCCAACATGGTGAAACCCTGTCTCTACTAAAAATACAAAAATTAGCCGGGCGTGGTGGCGGGCGCCTGTAGTCTCAGCTACTCGGGAGGCTGAGGTAGGAGAATCGCTGGAACCCGGGAGGCGGAGGTTGCAGTGAGCCGAGATCACGCCACTGCACTCCAGCCTGGGTGACAGAATGACATTCCGTCTCAAAAAAAAAAAAAAAAAAAAGATGAGAACACCTATACGGAAGGATTGGAGTGAGGTCTGACAGAATGTTTGTAATGTTCTTAGCATAGTGCCTGGCACATAAAAATGGTTCAGTGAATGGCAGCTTTCAATGTAAGAGGGATGGTGAGGAGGTTATGCTTAAGTGCTCTGAATTTAAGCGTAGCTTGATGTTAGAATGGTTTCTGTCCCAAATCTGTTTTCCCATGGCTGGGAAGATGGCGCCAGATGACAGATGGACGTTATGGAGAACAAGAGTGAGTTCCTGAATCTAGGCAAGCAGTGATCCCTGGCTATTAGAATCACCTGGGGTCCTCACTAACAAACTAACAAACTACCGGCCCACCGTAGACCAATTAAATCAGAATTTCTACCACCAGGAACCCAGGCAGAAGAATGCTAGAAACACGCCCCAAGTGGTTTTTGTTTGTTGTTTTTGGCGTCCCTGCGTGGGCTCACACTCCCCGTGTTTTTACTTTTTATTATTTATTGATAAGTAATAATTGTAGCTTTATCTTAGGGGCTGTCCTTTGTCGTTCGGTTAAATGAAGTCCCAGCACTTCGGGCTGCTTAACGCTACTGCACTTTCTACGCAGCAAAGTGGAAAGAGGGCTGGAAAACCGGCTAGGAAACTACGCAAAGCAACTAGAAAAGAACTATCTCATTGCTTTCCGAACACGAATTATCGGTTCCCCTTTCCCTGAGCGCTCTTTAGCAAGGGATCCGAGGTTTCTATTCTGCCTAGTCTCACCGCAAGCTGCCAATACACCCCGAGCAAATCCAAGGAGGTGGCGGGGGACTGTGCTCAGCGCCCGATCTCTGAGAGAACACCTCGGGGCGGCAGAGTCTGAGCCCCAGGGACCTCAAGCCCTCGCGCGCCCTCGCGCGCCCTCGGACTGTGGACAAAAGGTCCGGGCCTTCCAGGGGGCACTCACCGCTTGCATACCGAGGCTTCGGTCCTGAAGCGGCGCGCCGCTTGCTGAGCTGCGTCAGCCCTCTGCGGTTTCCCTGCCCAAGACACCCGCCCGCTGGGGGCGCTGCTGCGAGAGCCCTGGGGGCGGACTGCTTTTTGAGTCGAGTCTCTTCCGCAACTGTAATTGATGAATCCGCCCCTGCAGTTTACTAGAGCTCCGTGTTTGAGACTCAAGAAAAGCGTGCAAGTAACTAGCGCACATAGGCCAAGCCACCTGGGCGCACGCACACACCCTTTAAGAGAAAGCCAGCACTCAAAGGATGTGAACTATGTCGTTTAAACGTCCCGTATTTGCGAAATTCCAGAGAGATAGTCGTTCGCTTTGCGGTAGCTGTTTCAAGTTTTCGCCCCGCTTTAAAAAGCCAGAGGAACGGCCGGGCGCAGTGGCTCACGCCTGTAATTCCAGCACTTTGGGTGGCCGAGGCGGGTGGATCACTTGAGGTCAGGAGTTCGAGACCAGTCTCGTCAACATGGTGAAACCTTGTCTCTACTAAAACTACAAAAAATTAGCCGGGCGCGGTAGCATGTGCCTGTAACCCTAGCTGCTGGGGAGGCTGAGGTAGGAGAATCACTTGAACCCGGAAGGCGGAGGTTGCAGTGAGCCGAGATCGCGCCACTGCACTCCAACCTGCGAGACAGAATAAGACCCTGTCTAAATAAGTAAATGAATAAATAAGCCAGAGAAGCAGTTTTTGGTCCATTGATGTATGTAGACAGAAGCCGAACCCTTTGCTATGGTAACCAGACTTGTACCCGATATTATTAATACATTCCTGATTTCACACACACAAAAAGTGTGTTTGCTTGTTGTTTTTTAAGTACTGTGGTGCGGAGGAAGGGAAAAAAAA